AAGTACATCAGATAGATCCTCAGAAGCTTCACTGGTGCCTGAGAAATTCAAGTATCAGCGTCACCAGAGCTTAGCCATTTTCAGTTATTGGAAAAGTGGTTTTGTTCACCCCCCAATCAATGAATTGCTATCGACATGCATGTTTCTCTGACACATACAATAAACCAGCATTTGGCAGTGATTTAAACAAGCCAACGGGGCCAGCCTCCCGTTGGAACTAAGCCTTATAGGAGCCGGAACAAGTCAGATTTCATTGAGTTCTTCTCTGAAAGCCATTCCTTAATCTTCGAGCTGCAGTCATCTTCTTGGGGTTCAAAGCCACCTTCTCTCCTGTTGGCCTGAACTGTCTGGCCTCAGGGAACTGTGGCATAAGCCCCTGACCAAGCTTCAGGTGGCTGCATGCTGGCTCTTCCAAAGGGAACACATTTGAGTTCTCTCATGAAACTCTCCCCTAAAGGGACGATGGTCTGGTGTGTTTCTGAGTGTGTGTGTGTGTGTGTGTGTGTGTGTGTGTGTGTGCACTCGCATCAGTAACACTTGCCCACGCTCCTGAACAAGAGGAAAAGTAGCTCCCTCCTCTGGAGGGTGCCACCAAGGCAGGGCCCAAGAGCAGCTGTTTTCCATGCTGAGCTGGTTATATGTTAGAATCATTGGGTGGGTGGGGTGACCAGGGGTGCTTTCTCCTTTTTCCAACCTTCCCCATACCTCCAGGTCTGACTCAGTTGGCCTAGGATCAGCCTGGACATCAGTATGTTCTTAAAAGCTTTCCTACTGACCTTAATTTGCAGCCAGGGTTCTTGTTGCTCTACGGCTTTAGAGTAACAACAGGAACCATCAGTGGAGACTCCCCAGTGTACCCAGTTAGAGACACAATTTTAAAGCAGTTCCTGCCCCAGCCTCCTAACGCAAAGCTGACAATCTCTGCAGCCTACAAAGTAATCTTTAGACAGCATATTGAATTCTGGTACCATGTCTCATTCAGATAGTACCTCTTTAACCAACCAGAGCCTCAGTTACCCCTACTAGGAATACAAGGGCTGTTCTAGATACATCTGTTTGCTTCTTCTGTCCCTTATTTGTCAGCTTCATGCATCTCCACTCTTCACCTCTCCTTTAAATGCAGACTGATTATATATTTGCCTTTCTATCCCAGCTAAAGTGCTTTATGTGTTGCTTTAAAATTAGATTGGAGCAGCGCTTGCCCTCTAACTCAATAATACCACAGAAATCATAAACTATAATCCAAGTGAGGTGTATAACGTGGATGATGTTCTATTCCATATGCATAAGAGCTCCATGCATGCAACTGCAGCTAGCCATTCTGTCTGGAAAAGCTCATGATGAATCATATAGATCCAGCCCACTGAACACCAGCTCAGGCCAGCAGCTCTCCCTGCTGCATAGCAACAGCCTACCACAATACTTATCGGGGGTTTTTCCCTCCAAGCTTGGCTTAATATCTACTTATCAAGTAGAAAAATTCATTTTGGAACTATTTTCAGAGCAAAGACATCCATAAGGATATATTAGCTGCATTACTTTTACCCAATGAAATAAATAAATCTCTCACCCTACAATAAACTTAGCACGTAGGAGGGCAAGCAGCCTCTCAAATGGGACTCCTTGGAGGAAACAGCATGTAAATATACTAACGACCAGGGGATATGGAAGAATTCAGAATAAAGCAGGTCTACCAGGGACCCCCCCACCACCACCATCTACAATGACTCGTTTAAAGGGTCAAAAGAATTTTTTAGTATGTTGTTTCAGAAAATTTTAATATCCAGCAAGTGCAGGTCACAGGTTGGCTCCAGTCCTGGATACTCAACTAGTCATCTCCACTTGCACATCCCCAAGAGCCCCAAATTCTCCATGTCCAAGTCAGAACCCATCACCTATCCTCCTGCTTTTATATTTCTGATCTCAGTTAATGAGGTCACTAGCCACTCAGGCATCCATATCAGAAACCCATGCTTATCTTGGAATCCTATCTCTCCTACTCCTTCCAAATCTCTACACCTTGGAGACACCACTGAGCTCACCCCTTCATATCAGTCTCTCCCATCCCAACCCCACAGCCCCTGTTTTAATTTGCAGCTTCTTCATTTTTCTACTGATTCTTCTGATGACCTCCTAACTACTCTCCCTCCGTGGATCAAGTCCTCTACCTCCAATCTAAATAAGTTTTGCTACAATAGTCTTCAAGAAAAAAATCCTGGTCATGGGGCTCTTTTCATTAAAACCCCTTGGAGGATTCTCAGGGACAAGTTCAAAGTCCAAAGTAGGGTACACAAGGCCCTCCACAATCCAACCTGAGGTCTCCCCAGGCATCACCTTGAACTGTTTCTTCTGGCGAGAGGAGCCACATGGAGATCCCGAGCCCACCGGCCTGTCTCCCATCTCCAACCTCTGTTTGGGCTGCTCCTTCTGATTGGAATGCCCTCTGCCTTTCTGCCCCAGCAAAATAAACACATTATATGGACATCTCTCTTCTACACAACCTGTCCTCAACCCCACTCTAAAAGAAGAACTAGGAGGCTAGGGATATAGCTCAGTTGGTAGAGTGCTTGCCTCATATGCACAAGGCCCTGGGTTCAATCCCCAGCATCACAAAAATCATAAATAAATAAATTTTAAAAAATAAATAAAAGAAGAACTAGGAATCCCCTCTCTTAGGTGCCTGGTCATGCTTATATATCAGCATCTAAAACTTGTCTGCACTAATTAGATCTCAGGGGACAAGAACTGCATCTACAACTTGGAGCTCAGAAGTGCTTCCTGAAGCAGGCTAGGAAATTGATTAATATTTATTAATGATTGAATGTCTCCATGACAGTATTTTAAGAGTCATTCCAAACTGTTTTCTTTCTTTGGGCTGCTTATGATGTGGAAGTGCCTCTTACTCTACTTTGAAATCACTTTCAGAGAACCAAAAAAATAAATCAGCACAAGAGATAAATCACCTCCTATCCCCCAAGAAATCATTTMTTTGTTCTTGACTCCTAAAAGAAGAGTCATGCTTGAAGCGCTTGCACGGCAAATGATAGTGAGAAATTATCAAAACTAGTTGTTCCAAATCCTTCCCAGCACCCCAGGTTTTCAATGCGCTCACCCTGGAAGTGATTATATGAGTCACACACAGGGTAGAGGCACTACCCTATTAAATTAAAGCAGAGTGTCCGTGGCATAAACCAAGACTGGCTTATAAAACCTACATCCATGACTCCTGGGRTGTGGATGGAAAATAACATTAAGAATAGAAATTGACTTCCTCAGTGTTTTTACTTCTAAGCCCACAAGGGAGTCACATAAAAAAAAAAAAAAAAGGTGCCACCTTCAATTCAGCAGCAGATGCCCCGTGCCCAAAGCCAAACCCTTGAAAGGCCCTGGGGCTACCCATAAGTCTTTCTAAAATACCAAATATCTGCAACATCATGTCACCAGTGGAGCATTTCTCTGAGCACTGATTTCATATTGGAAGATGGGCAATTTAAATAAATGTTTCATTAACATAGTGTTTTCCTGCTTGATGCTAATGYTCTTAATTTGTTTTTCCAGACTCCCTTCCATAGAATCATTTCCTGTGATGCCTCTCAAGACAATCTGAAACTCTTTGGGTCCCTAATAGACAATCCAGAGAACCTAGAAACCAACCAAACAACCAAACAAATAAGCAAAAACCCTGACACTAAAAAGCCACTGAGACCCATTTGTCCTGAAATACACATCAGAAATGCTCTGGGTTCTTGTTTGAGTCACACAGAGGTCAGAACAGGATGGACCGTCCTGACCACCTCGGTGGTGCTGGGTTTGGACAGATGGTGGCGAAGCATTGTTCAGTGGGGCACGTTGGTCCCAGAACATGAAGGTGAGGCACGGCTTCTGCAGGAAGAATGCAGAATGTCTGACATTTTGWTTTCAGGCCCTAGAAGGCTTGCTCCCACTCTGCTGTGTTTATCTGTCCCAGGACTCTTGCTAGGTTGTGATTCCAAACCCCTAAAATTTCAAGGATGTTTCGAACATCTTTTATTAATAGCAACACAAAAAATTTCCATAGCTCACTGTTCAGATAAATGCCAGACAAGTAAAAGCAGGTGCCATATAAGGGCTCATTCCCCCCAAACTTGGTGAGACAATGGCTCGATTCTAATGTTGTGGGGAGAAAAGCCGAGCACAACACTAAAGCGTGGATCGGTTCACATCAGAATGGACTGTGTGCACATTTTCTAGAGGGGGAGACGGGATTTTGATTTGGTCCTATTACACATGGAAACAAAACTAAAACTCAGTGAAGAGGTGAAGCACAAAGACAATCAACACTGGACTCTCTGGGTGCCCCGTGCCATGTCTGTGGCAGAGAGGAGGAAAACACCATCCCAAAGCCTAGAACCAACCATAAAGGGGTTGGTGTTCCAGCTCTGCCACACGTGAACTGCACAGAAAGAGGCTTTGGACGTGGGCCTTTGATTTGTGAGCTTCATCTCCCTTTTATAAAATAAAGCCAATGTAATAGCAATCATAATGGTGCTCAGAGTAGGGGTGGCGGCAGCTTCCCTTCACGGGGCACTTCCTGTGCAGCAATGCAATGCAGAGGTCAGTGCTTTGCACACACCTGGCAAACGCCTGGTCACTTTCCCCTTTCCACACCCTGCAGTGGAGAGGAGGTGAACTCCACTGCACAGAGGGGATGCTGTTATTCAGGAACTGGTCACTCAGCTAGAATGAATGGCAGGGTCTCCTTTCAAAACCAAGTCTGCCTGACATCTGGGCTCTGTGGAAAGGCCAACTACCTCCAATGGCTGCCAGTGGATTTTCCTAGAGAGACCAGATCTAAGTGGAATGGGCTTGGGAAGCGCTGTGTGAGTGTCAGTCATCATCTGCAGAGGCCTCCGGCCAGCAGCCAATGACCCCTCTGACCTCTGGGAAGCCCAGCCTGGCAGGCAGGAGGAAGRACACGGGGGCAGCGTGGGAGGAGGGCCAGGCGGCCTCCTGACACTTACTTTCTCAGCACGGCGATCTCATTCTCTATACTGCTCTCCTTGCCCTTCAGCGCCTTCTTAGGGATGCACTTCACTGCGAAGAGTTTTCCAGTTGCCTTCTCTTCAGCTAAAACCACTTCAGAAAAAGCCCCACTGTGAACAGAGAGAGAGAGAGAGAGAGAAAGAAGACTTAGAGTCCAGAATTCTAGTTTTGCGGCCGCTCCTCTGATCCTATCTCCAAAGTCTGAGTAAGGACAGCAATAGGTCTGAGCACAGGCCTTACAGCTACTGCTTATCCAGCAGGCCTCCTTACCAACATCCCCGTGCAAAGAAAAACCCAGGGACAAGTGTGTCCTCCCACAAATGGACAGTGGATGTCGACACAGGTTTGGACCAAAGGGACACCGCAGGATGACCTAGGTTGGCCATCTGCAGGGCCACCTGCACAAAGGGGTGACAGCATTCCCCTGGAGCCAACAGGAAGAGTCCTGGGGCAGGTTCCTCCTGCAGAGACAGACYGGGTCTATCTGCATTTGTCAACCCCTCTCACCGCCACACAGACTAGAAAGTCCTACTGAAATTCCCAGATTCCCCACAGGAAGGTTTCAGAGYGCTTCACAAACACTGAATTAATTCTTGCAGATAGGTAACGATGTAATTACAGTGCGAGTCGGTGCAACACGTGGCATTGACGCGGGGTTAATTAATCGGTAGGGGTAGGCACGTTTTCATTAAGCAGCTTAATTCCTTTTCAAACYAAACAAACAAATAAGGGCCACACAGTGGGGAAGACGTGCCTGCCTGAAAATACAAATTTAACTCTGTTAGGGCACAGCCACACACTGGAACCAAGATGTCCAGAACCAGAGARCCTGTCTCTCTCCCCAGAGGTGCCACACCCGGGCTGGGGCCAGAGGCCCCAAGAACTGAGACACACAGACAGCCTCCTCCACCGTCTCCAGATTCAGGGACTGGGTTCACAGCACACTGGCCAGGGAAACCCCAGGACACACTGAGCTGTTCTCCGTCCCCCGACTTCAGGAGCGATTCTAAGTTCCTCAGAGAGATGCTAAAGATGTCTTCTACACAACCACGACTAGAGACAAAGTCTGCTGCGTTGATAGAAACCACTGGAAGCACCAATGTGGCCCCAAGGCTTTGGGGCTGCCTTCTTTAGTCAAGAGCAAAGCCTTGGCTCAGCCAGGAGAAGGTACCTGCCCTCGCTCTCCTTCCCCATCTGACGGGACCTAAGAAGACAAACACATCATTTAAAAATCCCTTCCAGAGAGGGGAATTCCCGTCCAGTTGGTGCACCCRACTGTGGGTCCTCAGGACACAGATCTTACTGGAATGCTAACTCTCAGGACAGAATTCCATCTGTCTTTAAGGCTGGAGTCCAATTACACAAACCTGACGGGCAGAATATGGTCCATCCACAAAATGCCCACAGGGAAAATGTTAGAACAAGGACCTTCTGCCCAAATGCATAAATTATTAGCAAGTAGGATTCTCCCCCCAGAAGACTCTATGCTGAGCCTTCTGGAACCAGCCAGAACAATAATCATTAAATATTAAGACATTAAAAACCCACAACGGTGATGGAGGAAATCAAACTGCCCTGATAATACCTGGTCACTGCCAGTGGCTTTGGCCCCAGAAAACCAGTTCAGAACAACTTCGGAGACTTGCCCTGAGYGCAGGACCCCTGCCTCTCTCTGCTCTAACTGAGAGGCTTCACCTCACAGAGGGYCCTGGATGGAAGAAGACCCTTAACTTTGGAGTAGGTACGTGCTTCCTTCCCCTGTCCCCCAGAGGGTGGAACCAGGAGTGTAATGGGGAGAAACATCAGGGCTCGAGCATCCTGGGTGACTCTGTGCCAGATATTCCATTCATTTTCCTTTGGTTTCCACCTGAGTCCCTAACGCTGGGCTACTGCAGGGAGCTGAAGCAGGGTGATACAGCTGTGTCCCTAACTGTGCGAAGGAGGGACTATTTGTGATCCTGGGCATAGATAGKTACAGGAGTCCCCAGCTTGACAATCCTGAGCCAGCCAATGAGGCATCTGTGGAAGGGCTCAGGGAAGGCTGCAGACAGACAAAGAATCCTCAGCTACCGTTACCGAGTCATGCTGCAAAGTCAAGGACATAGTCCCATCATCTCAGGATAAAGGCTAGCCTGCATTTCCACTCCCAGATACATCCCCAGAAGAAAGGAAAGCAGGGACCTGGACAGAGATTTGCACACTCACAGTCACAGCACTATTCCCAGCAGCCAAAAGATAGAAACCATCCAAGTGCCCACTGACATGGTCGACACACACGATGGAATATTACTCACCCTTAAAAAGGAAATCCTGACACATGCTGAAATATGGATGAACCTTGAGGACGTGGGCTTGTTGAAATAAGCTGGTCACAAATAGACAAATGCTATATGGTTCCACTTATGCAAGATCATTAGATGAGTAAAATCCATAGAGACAGAAAATAGAACAGTGGTTGCTAGAGGGAAGGGAGAGGGACRGTTATTGTACAGTGGGGACAGAGTTTCTGTTTGGGAAGATGAAAAGTTCTGAAGATGGACAGTGGTGATGGCTACACAATATCATGAACTGTAATTTTAAAATGTAAAAGTCTATGGTATGTCCATCTGACCAAAATAAAAAAAAAATAAAAATAGAATGTCTGCCCACTTTTTTTTTTTTTAATTTCAACTCAATGGCTTTGCTTGAGAAGAGAGACCATTGGAAAAGCTAGATAACCCTTTTCACTCATTACTTCCCTAGAGGGAAGAGGAATCCTGGGAATGATCACAGGGTACCAGATGGCGTGTACCACTTGACATTTACCAAGTGCTGGCATCTATCAACTAATCCAGTCCTGACAACCCCACTGAGTACAGTACAGAAGTGGAAGTTACTGTCCGTCCATGTCAGACAGAAGAATACTGAGCTCAGTAGTGAGCTCAGTACCTCAGGAGTCTGAAGGTGACAGTATCCGGGTCAGGCCCTCTGGCTGGGGCTCTGCCTTCACTCACAAGCTGCAGGTCCACTCACTTTCTTATTTAGTCAAACGAAGTGCGTTCATCTTCCCTAAGCCTTCCAAAGACAGAGCTCAGGTCTTCTTAGAGGATATACGATCAGCATAAATTTTTATTGTTTCAACAATAAACAAAAATCACTTGACGACGCTTTCCCTGGTCAAGAAAGCTAAATTAAAAACATCAAAAACAAAACTCATGAATGAAGAGTAGTTTGGGCACCTTCAATGTAATTACACAGCACCATGGGTGCAGAAGGGGGGGTCAGGGAGGGACAGGGAGCTGGTGGCGGGAAGTACCAAAGGAAGGAAAATTGATCCGAGAGCCCATACAGCCTTCAGACAACCCAAGGAAATAAAATCCAAGGAACAAAAGCAGGGACAAAGAATGACAATGTCTTAAAAATACAAAGAGGTCAAGGCAGGTTACGAAGTCAGCCATAAAATACAAGCCCTGCGCATTTAAGATTGAATGGTAGCCAGGCGGTAGTGCAGGCCTGCAATCCCAGCTACTCCGGAGGCTGAGACAGAAGGATCCCAAGTTCAAGGCCAGCCCCTGGGCAAAGAGTGGGAAGGAAGGTGGGCAGGGGCAGGCACTGGGGACTGAAATGGAGTAAATTAAATTCCATGCAGGTCTGATTATGTCCAAAATGAACCCAAATGTTATGTACAACTACAATGCGTCAATAAAAGCAAAATAAATAAAAAATAAATAGGGCTGGGGATGCAGCTCAGTGGTAGAATGCTCCTAGGTTCTATCCCCAGAATCACACACAACACACACACACACACACACACACACACACACACACACACACACACTAGAAAGCTAGATGGCAGGGAGCTCAGCCAGCTGCGATTCCACTTGCATCTGGAGATGCATGCCTGAATCCACCCACACCATGCCCTCTCCTCTGCTTTCTGCAAGCTGACTGCTTCTCTTACCACCACTTGACTGGAACCAGGTGGCCTGGGCCCTCCCCTCCCAGGGCTCCCCATTGCTAAACCCAGCCGTGGCTTCTCACTGCTGGTCTTACTGGTCTTTGTGTGCCTTGTGATAGCCTCCACCTCCTTCCTAAAACTCTTCTTGGTTCCATAACATTGTTATCTTCTTCCATGTTTCCATCCACTCTTTTCTCCATCCCCACCTGGTCCTCTTCCCCACTTCAACCAGCAGTGACACTCAAGGTCTCATCCTTATAGTCCTTCTGCCTCTTCTAGGCTCCCACCCCTGAAAAATTCTAATTGTTTTCCTAGTTTCAACACCCTCCTACCCAGAGATGGGTCCCCTAAGCTTTGTCTATATTTGAATCTTTTTCACRTGCAAAAGAGTCTGTCTGACTTCCACTAACCCACTGACCCTGCTAGATGCTCAGGTCTTCCATTAAAAGGCTCAAATACCCTGTATTCTTCCAATCCTCCACCACTGCTCTGAGACAGGTCCTCATTTTTTCACCTGTGGATTACCTGCCCAACACCCTCCTGGTCCCTGTTCCCCCAGCAAGCCTACCTTCTATCTACCTCCTATCTGCTCCTGGAATTGCTTTTCTAAAACAAAGATCTGGTTAGGCTGTCCCCTTCTTTTAATTCTTTGAGGTTCTGTGTCCAGAGAATCAGRCTCAAATCCTCTGCAACCCAGGCATCTGAAGCCCCTGCAAACCTGACCAGCTTGGTGGGCCCATCTACCACTAGAGCCTCCCCTCCAACACCCTCAGCCCTCACCACACACACCTCACCTTCACCCAACCACCACCACTAAACGGCAGTTTCCCATACCTGCCCACGCGCTCTCACACCACCGGCCTTTGCTCAGGCACAACTCACCACCYCTTTCCTTGAATGTCATTTATGCGTCTGCTTGGCAAAATGTCATGTGTTTGTTTTTGTTTTTGTTTTGTTTGTTTTTTTAAGGGTCCAGGTATATTTCCACCTCTGTTGAGGTTTCTCGATGGCCTCTCACCTGAACAGAATGACACCATTCTAAGGCACGTGGCTTACACCCCCATTTCCCCCACCGACATGGACCACTGCAGGCCTCAGGGTTTTGCCATAGGAGCACAGGGGTTGGGCCTGATTCCGTTATGTCTCTATACCCAATGGTACTGGGCACCAGCT